TCTAGGAGCCCTTGGCTCCTAACCGCTCACCTGTCTGCCTTCCTGGTCACCCCTAACTGCCCTTCCCTGCCAGCCTGCTTGCCGCTATTAACTTTTTTTCTTCAAATGTTATCCCCTTCACACACAACTGTATTTGACTTCCTCATTGGCTTCTCCCTCTCACACAATTTTTCTCTCTCCTTTATGTAACAGTTTTCCCTATTGACTCATCATTTATTAACTTTTCTTTCCCCCTTATTTCCTACTCTGTTCCATCATCCTTCTTCCCATCTTTTTCCAACCCTCCCTCCTTCCCCACATTCCTTCTTTCCTTTATCTTTACTCCTCCCCTTTTCCTTTCTTCAAACTTAATTTTTTTTTCTTCACTTCCTCCCTCAGACCTGCTTTGCTCCCTCCCCCATTCTCCTTTTAAGCTCTACTAGCTCCCCTTTAAAACTTTTCTTCCCTTCCCTCCCTCTTTCTCTCTCATCCTACCTTTCTCATACATTCTTCTCTACTTCCTTCCACTGTTTTAATATTTATATCTACTTACCTATCTAATTGTTCACTATCATTTCTTTTTTCTTTTCTTACTCCTACTTTTAAAATCTGTCCCCAGTACACAACTATACTTGATTTTCATTATAACTCCTATAGTTCACTCTACATCCTCTTTCCTTAACTCTGCTCTCTACTAAATTCTGAGCAGAGGGCAGGGACGTAGCTTGCTGATCTGGTGATGATGTGACACTGTAATGGATAATTTGCATATTTCTCTTATTAATATAGATACTTTTTAAGTGCACATAGAATATTCCAAGTATAGACCATATACTAGGTCATTAAAAAAAAGAAACCTCAATAAATGTAAAAAGATAGAAATAACACAAAGGATATTCTCTGAACAAAATGGAATAAATTTGGAAATCAAATAAAAAATTGGAAAACTCACAAATATTGAGCACCCTTCTAAATAAACAATGGATCAAAGAAGAAATCAAAAAAAAATCAGAAAATATTTTGAAATAAGGGAAAATAAAGACAGAATATTAAAACATATGGGATTCAACTAACCAGTGCTTAGATTAAAATATATAGATCTAAAATAAATAGCTCTAAATACCTATATATTAAGGAAAAAGAAAGGACTGAAGTCAATAACGTAATGTTCCACCATAAGACAGAAAAAAAAGAACTGAGCCTAAAGCAAGCAAAAGAAGGAATTATAAAAATTAGAGAAGTTGATGAAATAGAGAATAGAAAAACAATAGATAAAATTAATGAAACCAAAAGCTGGTACTTTGAAAGACCAAAAGAAAACAAAAAACAAAGAACCAACGAACAAATCTTTAGCTAAATTGACATGGTACAAAACAAAGAAGCCTCTTATCAATACAACTGGAAATTTAAAAGTGACCTGACTGGTATGGCTCAGTTAACTGGTGTCATCTCCGAACTAAGGAATTAGTGGTTTGATTCCTAGTAGGAGCACATGCTCAGGTTGCAGATTTGGTCCCAGGTGGGGGTTGTGCAGGAGGCATCTGATCTATGTTCTGCTCTCACACTGATGTGTCTCTCTTCCTCTCCCTCTCTTCTTTCTATCTAAAAATCAATGAAGGATTAAAAAATAACTTTTTAGAGGTAATTGCTGTTACCATTCTTTTAAAAAAGAAATTTAGGCTGTCTTGCATGGCTTAGTGGTTGAGCCTTGACCTATGAACCATGAGAGCATGGTCCAATTCCTAGTCAGGGCACTTGCCCGGGTTGAGGGCTTAATCTCCAGTGTGGGATGTGCAGGAGGCAGCCGATCAATGATTCTCTGTCATCATTGATGTTTCTACCTTGCTTTCTCTCCCTTCATCTCTGAAATCAGTAAAAATATATTTAAGAAAAAGAAATGTTAAAGTGTATATTACTAACAACTTAATAGAAGCCAAAGGGACTACAAAGAAATACATAAAAAATGTATATTAGCAAGTTAGGTAACCTAGAATAAATGGACAAATTCCTAGAAAAACCTAACTGACTCATAAAAAAATAGAAAACCTGAATCAACAAGTGATTTCAATTAGTAATAAGAAAATAATTATCCACAAAGGAAGCCCAGGACTGGTTAGGCTCATCACCGAAATCTACTGAACACTTAAAGAAGAATTAATACCAATACTTCAGACATTTTCCCTCTTCCAAAATATAGAACAAAGGGAATACATCCTAAATCCATTTTATAAAGCTAATATAAACTCTGATCAAAAAGAAAAAAATAAAAACAAACAAGGACATCACAAGGAAAAGAACTACAAGGTAATTTCTCTTATAAATACAGTTAAATCTTGATCAGTTCACAAATATTTAGTGTCCACAGGCTCACAGGAACCTAACAGTTAATTTTCCATAGGAGCAATAGTTCAGTGTGTGCTAATTCAATGTTTGCAATGACTTTATAGAAAACAACTGCTGTGTATAATAATAATTGACTGTAAACATTAATTTTACTGGATAAAATAACATGTCTGGAATTTGCTTCAAAATAATTCATTGGTTATAGAGGGAGCAGAGTAGCAGAAGGGAATAGAAGTTTATAGATGAAACAATATTTCTCATGTGTTGATAACTGTTCAAGCTGGGTGATGATAAACATGGGAGTAAATTAATGTATTATCTCTGCCTTTGCAACTAATTAAAATTTTCCACAAAAAAGTAAAACATTTACTACAAATGCACATATAAAGACATCTCACCAAAAACCTAAGGACACATAATAAAGTACCAAAATACTAAGAAATAAAGAATAATAAATAAGGCCAGCATTTTTCCAAAATGGTACTAATGGCATTTGGAGTAGTATAATGCTTTACTTGAGCAGGATTATCCTATTCATTTAGGATGTTTGGCAATCTCAGCCTTCTTCCACTATGTCAGTAGCACCACTGATTGAAACCAAGGATGAGGCAAAGCTTTGTCCACAAGGCCACTGTTCACAGTATCTCTATAAAACTTCTTAAAAATAAAATAACCTTAATGTACAATAGGAAGACACCAGTTAAATATAAATATGGTTTATCAAAATAATGGAATACATTATAACACCTAAGATTATTATACTTCCTTTTAAAGAAAAGCCATCCCAGAAAGACATTTTTCAAAAACCTTCCTTACCCTGGCTGCTGGCAGCTGGCCCAGCCCCCCAACCCACACCCACGTTGGCCTGGCACCACCAGCATCCACCGCCACCCACCCCAGTTCCCCATTCCCCCCCCATTAGGCAATCAGCGCCTGCCAGCTGGGGGGCGAAGACCAGAAGGTTGGCTGGTAGGCCCTATTCAGGTGATCAGGGTGGTCAAGGTGCATCATAGTGACTGGTTGTTCTGGTCATTCTGCTGTAAGGATCGCTGTGCTTTTATATAAATAGGCGAAAAATAGAAATATTAAATGATGAGAACAATGACCTAAAAATATTTTAATATTTGCTTCTGTCACAACCAAGAGTAAAGTGAAAAATTAAAGAATAGCTTTGAAAAGTTAAAAAATATAACATATTAGCAAGTTTAAATATATATAAAAATAAAAGAAGAGGAGAATAAAGAAAGAAAAACAAAAATGATAACTGAAGTCCCAAGAACATATCTTCTCAAAGGTTTACTCTGCAAAAAAACAGAGTGGGCAGAGTGATCACATCTTATCCCAAGGATGATTGAGGAAGTTACAAGGGTATGTTAACAAAAGACTTTATTCTGATTATCATAAGGGAAATCTGATTGATGACTTAGACATACAAGCAACATGAGGAGAAACTAATTACACTATTTTAAGACTTCACAATAATCAAGGACAGTGAAATTAAACATATATATATATATATATATATATATATATATATATACACACACACACACATATACAGATTTTAAAAAGCTGAATGTCAGCAATAACTGAATTATCCCAGGGCAAGAGACTCCAAATGTAAATGCAGTTCAGAATATCAAAAATAATATTCAGGTTAAATAATCATGACTCCAATAAAGAATAAGAAAAATGCATCCATATGCTTAGCTTCTCATTTAGGAAATGAAATGGAATTCATTTAATAGGAAAGCAAGTTTTTTATTGCTCTTCTAAGTATCATGGAAGTACTATTTATCAAATGTTTGATTAGGAGTACCTAACATCACTCCACTGTTTCTAAGGACCAAGAAAAGGCCCAATAATCTACAGTTGAACAACGGCATCTTACAATGGATAATACAGTATTAAGTGAAATCCCTCAACCTACTACAGAATATTTACTATACTGTGGCAAGGTCATCTCAGGCTTTAAAGTAAATACTGCAATTATCTTAGGGGAAAATGGAGCATGTCTAGAAAGATGCCAACAAGAGCAATCTAAGAGTAAAAAACCAAACAACTTCTACAATTTTTAATGTTGAGCTATAACAACTAATCAATCTCCCCCCTCTCTCTCTTTCTCCCTCCCTTTCTCCCTCCCCCCTCCCTCCCTCCATTCCTCTTTCTCTCTCCACGTTACAGTTTACCTCTTTCTTGCAAGCTTCCCAAATATGTCAGAATATGAGCAAAAGACAAGACTTACTTATATGTACTACCTGGTGAACTGGCACCCTTGAAATAAATCCAATACTTTTATCATTTGGAAATCAAATACATCTCTTTCAGTTAGCAATTTTCAACTGGTGTGCTATAAGAATTTTGAAAACATGCGATACCTGACTAGTCAGAGGCACTGACCTCTTTTCCTTTAAGTTTTTAAATAAAAAATGATAACAGTCAACACAGTGATAGCCCTCTGGTGTGAATGAATCAAACTTATACATATTTTTTGACAGATGGGCAAAAGATGTATTTTTTGGTATGCCGAAGAAGTTTAGTAATTAGTTGATGTGTGCCATGAGGTAAAAAAGATTGAAAATTGCCACTTTAGGGGATTAACACCGAGCCTTAATTTTCATAATGAAAAACAAATTCGACAAGCAAAATACTCATGAAAAAATAACCCGAGCACTTACCTTTCCACAATCAAACTGACTGTGTGTGTGATATCTGGGTTTGTCACCTGGAGACGTTTCCACAAAGTCCATACAAATTCTTTATCAGCCTTTAAAAAAAAATAGACATTTTAAATGTATTGCTTTGTAGCTGTAATGGAGAAGACAATACACTACATAAAGTTAAAAATGAAAACACCAAGTTACTTGATTACTAGTACTATGACTATAAAATAGATTCTTAAAAAATATAGTGGAAAGCTTTATTTTAAAAAGTTCTTGTACTGATAACCCATATACCCTTTCATTATTTCTATCCTTCACATTTTAGAGTATAAACATTGAAATGCTGAAAACAAGGTAAATTTGCTCTAAAAGGAAATGGCCTTCTAGCTATTGCTCTCTTCTCAGCAAAATTCCTTGAGCCTTCTGTCTCCATTTCTTTACTTCCCATTTACTCTATAACTTTCCTCCAGTAATATTCCCCTTGACACTATTATTCTAAAATCATTTTTAAAGATCATTTATATACCTAAATCCAAATGGACAATAAACAGTCCATAAGGCCTTGATCAGTAATTATCAACTATTGACTGTTAGGAATCACTTTTTTATTTACTATATTTTATTGATTTTTTTACAGAGAGGGAAGGAGAGGGATAGACAGCTACAAACATTCATGAGAGAGAAACATTAACCAGCTGCCTCCTGCACACCCCCTACCGAGGATGTGCCTGCAACCAAGGTACATGCCCTTGACTGGAATGGAACATGGGTCCTTTCAGTCTGCAGGCCGACACTCTATCCACTGAGCCAAACAGATTTCAGCAGGAATCACTTTTTTTTAAATAAATTTTTATTGTTCATATTATTACAAATTTTCCTTCTCCCCCACCCCCCTCGATTGCTCTCCTCCACCAGGTTCCCACTCCATCCTCTGCCCTTTCCCCACCCCCCATTGTCCTCATCCATAGGTGCACAGTTTATGTTCAGTCTCTTCCCATATCCCCCTCTCCCCTTTTCCCCAAGAATCATCGGTTTACTCCCCTTCCATATCTCTGATTCTATTATACTCAACAGTTAATATTGTTCATCAGATTTTTTTTTTTAATTTCCTTGGTTTTTAGATTCACTTGTTGATAGTTACGTATTTGTTGTTCATAGTTTTTAGCTTTATTTACTTTCTCTTCTGAAAGAACCCCCTTCAGCAATTCATATAATTCTGGTTTGGTGGTGGTGAACTCCTTTAGCTTTTTTTTATTAGTAAAGCTCTTTATCTGGCCTTCGATTCTGAGTGATAGCTTTGCTGGGTAGATTATCTTTGGCTGTATGTACTTACTATTCATCACATTGAATATTTCTTGCCATTCCCATCTGGCTTGCATGGTTTCTGTTGAGAAATCAGTTGACAATCATATAGGTGCTCCTTTATAGGTAACTATCTGCTTTGCTCTTGCTGCTTTTAATATTCTCTTTCTGTTTTTTGCTCTTGGAATTTTAATTATGATTTGTCTTGGTGTGGTCCTCTTTGGATTCCTTTTGTTTGGAGTTCTGTGCTCTTCCTGGACCTGTAAGTCTAATTCTTTCACCAGGTGGGGGAAGTTTTCTGTCACTATTTCTTTCAGTATGTTTTCGATATCTTGCTCTCTCTCATCTTCTGGGACCCCCATAATTCTGATGTTGGTTCGCTTGAAGATGTCTCAGAGGTTTCTTACATTATCTTCAATTTTCTGGATTCTCTTGCTTTCTTGCTTCTGCAGAGTAGTGTCTTCTGGCTCTTTATGTTCCAAATCTTTGACTTTATTCTTGCGATCTCCCCTTCTGTTTTTAGGACTCTGTATAATATTTTTTATTTCAGTCAATGTATTCTTTATTTCTTGTTGATCCCTTATCATTTCTTGTTGATTCTTTATTAATTCTAGTCGATCCCTTTTCATATCCTCATAGGTCTTATCGACCTTTTCTAGGAAATTCTTGAAAAATCTTATAAGCGTAGATTTGAACTCTATATCCAGTCACTTTTTGTCCTCCATTTCTTTCGTTTGTGATCTATTTTGATGTCTCGGCATTTTCACAGCTTCCCTGATGGGGCAGGGTTTCAGAGTGGAGCCTATGGCCTTGGCTTCCGTCAGCCCTGCCCTATGCAGCTCCTGGGTCTCAAGGTCCTTCAGTACTCGCTGCAAGCACCTCTGAGAGAAAGGTGCCCTCAATTTTCGCCTGCTACCAAACAGTCTAGGCTTTCCCCCAATGAGCCCGGAACTGGGGTTCAGTTCAGTTGGAAGTGGAGTTCAGAGCAGTCCAGAGCTTTTGTCTCCTTCCCGCCAGGGCAATCCCGCGGCACAGCCGACCGTCCCTTCTCTGCACGCAATGTGCGTGCCTCTGGGACCTCCTTTCACTGTTCCCCCGGAGTTCCGCCTTACAGCCCAGCTCCCTATGAATGAGCCTGGGTCCCCAGGGTCTGGCCTAGAACTGGGGTTCAGAGCAGTAGGAACAGAAGCCCAGCACAGTTGGAGCTTTTATCTCCTTCCCGCTAGGGAATGCCAGCCAAGCACTCAGCCACTCCGCCCTTCCTCTCAGGCTCTGTCCTCTCCAGCGCGCTGCGTGTCTCCCTACCTTAGGCTTTTACAGCTCCTCCGCTCTTCCTTCTGGTTTTCTCCTTGCTTCTCATAGAATTTCCAGTCAATCGACTTTCCTGTAGTTCTGGGTAATGTCCATTTTATATTTTAGTTGTATTTTATTGAAATTGTTGTGTGCGGCAGCCGCTAGGTGTTTACCTGTGCAGCCATCTTGGATTCTCGGCAGGAATCACTTTTGAGGAGTTTGTATTTTCTTTAAATAGTGATGCTCTAGAGATTCTGATTTGTTTCAGGTAAGGTTCAGTATTTTTTTAAAGCTCCTGAGGTAATTGTGTACACACAATTTTGAGAACCACTGCTCTAAGTGAACTCATTTAATCCCATGATTTTACATATCAACTTTACACTGATGACTCCCACCCATATCTTGAATCTCCAACTGCTTAACAATTCTACTTGAATGTCTAATAGGTATCTCAAATTTAACTTACCCAAAATAAAATGTTTGATTTCCTACCCTTCCCAAAACCTACACCTCTGTGTCTCAGAAACTGACACCATCTACTCATTTGTCCAAAGGCCTAAGATTCAATCTGAGTTGCTCTCTTTTTCCTACGTTTCCTATCCAAACCATCAGTAAATCATACTGGCTTTAGCTATAAAATATACCCAATTCTAAGCACTTTTCAACTCTTCCTTAACTATCATCCTTGTCCAAGTCAAGTCCATCTCTTGCCCAGCTCTCCACAATGGTCCCTGCCTAGCCTTTTAACAAATTACAAAGCATCCCCCATCAGATTAGCAACTATTTTCTCAAAAGAAACACATCAGGCCAGAAGGGAATGGAATGAAATATACAAAGTCATGCAAAAGAAGCATCTGAATCTAAGAATACTATACCCAGCAAGGCTATCAATAAAAATTGAGAGTGAAATCAGGAGCTTCACAGACAAAAAAGGACTAAGGGAGTTTATCACCACCAAACAAGAAGAAATGAGTCTGCTATAAAAAGAAGAAATAGGAAGTGAAGAAGGAACATAGGCATAAAAAATAAAAAGTACCTATCAATAACTTTAAATGTAAATGGATTAAATGCCCCAATCAAAAGACATAGGGTAACTGAGGGGATAAGAAAATATGAACCATGTATCTGCTGACTACAGGAAACCCACCTCAGAAAAAAGGACTCATACAGACTGATAGGAAAGGGATGGAAAAAGGTATTTCAGGTGAATGGAAATGAAAAAAAAGCTGGGGTAGCAATAATTATATCTGACAAATTAGATCCCAAAGTGGATATTAATAAGAGATAAGGAAAGCCACTGCACAATACTAAAGGGAGCAATCCAACAAGAAAAAATAACTCTGGCAAACATATACAAACCCAGCCCTAACTTATTTGGCTCACTGGATAGAGCATCAGCCTGTGGACTGAAAGGTCCCAGGTTCAATTCCGGTCAAAGGCAGGTTCCTTGATTGTTGGGCATATGCCCAGAAGGAGGTGTGCAGGAGGCAGCTGATACATGTTTCTTCTCATCGATATTTTTAACTCTCTATCCCTAGCCCTTCCTCTCTGTAAAAAATAAATATATTTTTTTTAAAAAACCAAACATATATGCACCCAATACAGGAACACCCAAATACATTTAAAAACAACAACAACAACATCATAGGCCACCAATTGACCTGTACTGGAGGAACAAATTCAACAAACATATAAAATATATTTCCCATATTTAAACAAAATTGGATGGAGTTTAATTACAAAGTGTAATACAAAGTAGCCACTCAATAAATTATGAAAATTAACTATATGAAAATATTCACCTCTTAAAGTTATTAATACTATCAATGATAAGGATGCTAATGAGTTAATACAGTATGTGTTTTTTTGTGGGTTTTTTTTGTTTTGTTTTGTTTTGTTTTTGCTTTTGAGTGACTGGACAGCACAGCTGAATATATAACAAAAGATAATAACTGGCTGAATTCTCTGGTCATATATTCTTAATTCCAATATTGCATGCTTCATGAAAGTTGGTTTCATCATTCAAGTTGAAATAGTGAATATATATTTCATTTCAATGCCCTACATAATACCTGAAACTGGTTTACACCTTTTGACTGCTATTAAAAAAGGAACTAAGCTTTGAGATATACATACACACGCACACACACACACACACACACACACACACACATACTTTTTCTCATCTGATATCACAAAAGGAGTAATAAATGTGCACATACATGTACCCATATCATCCTTTGTCACAAATAGAACATATTTTTGAATAATTAAAATATGGTGATGTTAGGTTCTACACAATGGACAAAGCATCAATGTCATGGACTTAAATTTACCATTTGGAACATCATTGAACATTCCTCAGGAAAAAGCTACATTTGGAAGCTCATATCCTATCCTTAATAAACCCAAGACAGACAGCTTTTCTCTCATCTTGTAATTAACCATGTTTTCTTAAACTAAGCACTATGAGTATGTTGCTTGCTAATCTGAGACCATATGAAAAAAGTTTTAATTAAAAATAACATCACATAGTATAGGATAAGATGTTCCTATTCAAGGAAACACTTGGAACTGAGATTGTTTTCTGTTACATGCTTATTCTGAGTCATTCCCATAGAGGGGAGATATGGAATCACTCAAACTTCATATTTCTCCAAGTACATATAATTAAGTTCCTGTAAGTTAAATGGGGGGGGGGGACAACCTAAATGAAGCTACTGCTTATGACCAGAGACTAATTATCAAATTTCTTTCTCCCAAACTGTACATTTGACCCATTACTAGGTTGTGAAATGAATTTAAATCTGAGCTGCATTTTTTAAATAAGAGATTTTAAAAGAAAATAGCAGTTAATAACATAGTAAATATTCTTTCTGAAATTATATGTGTCTGTATGATGTGTATATGTACTAGGTTGAGATGTAAAATGAATTTCCTATTTTTGGAAATTGCGATTTTGTAAAGATTTGAAAAATATAGGGGTAATACTATGTATCCTTGGGTAGTGTGATTTCTAGCTGAATAAGTGGAAGAACAAGTAAAATATATATATATGAATGTTTAATTCCTTAAATAACTGTTTACAAAACAAGTGGAAGTTCATTATTACTTCCCAAGAGCAGGAATATGTTTTATGATAGTTTTATGATATTGGGGAAACTATCCATCTTGTCTCACATTACTGGAATGCCTATGATCATCCAAGTGTCAATATTTCAAGAATCTCAGGTACCATTGCTCTAAGCTAATTATGACCATCTCTATTCTTACATCTGCATAGAATACTTCATCTTCCAAGTCCCTTCTATGTCCAAGATCACATAGGCCAACATCCTGTTTGAAGCCAATTTTTTAAAGAATTTAACAGTGGATGGATTTAGAGGAAGTGGTCAGTCACTGGTTCTACCTCGAAGACAGTGATTCAAAGACCTACTAGGAACCCCCAACCTTTAATGACCCAACCCTGTCTAAAGGTGTGCCAAGAAGTGTGGTAAGGATGCAAAATGAAAGGGCAATCAAATCTCTCTGCACGCGATCCAGCCATCTCTGGTATACACCAACTCTACAAATCACAGGGAAGTAATGTTATGGAAACTGACCTAGCACATACATGAGAGTGAAACTTCCGGCTCCGGGACCATTGGGATTCCTAAAGCGGGTTAATAAGTACCAAGTATCACCTATTGTGTGTTCAAGCACCGGACCCAAGGCTCCCTGAAAATGACTGGTCTGTGTTTACAACTTAAGTTTGGCTTAAGTTGACTTACTCACAAGGGAAGATGTGGGTCTGAAACTTAACAACAGGCTCCTCCCTCGGGGGTTTTTTTTTTTTTTTACTTGAACAAGTGTTTTTAAACTTTGCTGTTCCACATGTCAACGCGTGCCCTGCACGCCTCGCCTGCGGCGCCCAGAACCTCTGCAGTCAGGCGGGGAGCCTGGGCTTGGGGAGGGGGTGCGGAGAGGGTGCGGTATCCCAGCGAAGAAAGCCAAATCCCTGGAACCCAGACCCCAGTCCAGCGGGGTGTCCAGGGAGGGACAGGAGCCCGGGGTCGGGCAGCGGGGAGTCGCTGGGAGGGGGCGCCGCGGGCGGGGCGGGGCGGGGCTGGGTGGCTCCCCAACCCGCGCGGCGGCCGAGCAGCCCCAGGCGGAGGCAGAGTGTCGCGCCTCCCCACAGGCCCCGGCCCCGGCCTCGATACCTGACACAGGGCCAGCTCCTCCTTTAGGCTGCTCAGCTCTTCCTCCAGCAGCTGCATCCGGGTCACCACCACCTCCTCTACCGAGCGGCCCTCTAGCTGCTCGGCCCCCGCGGGCGCACTGAGCAGGGGAGCCGGAGCGGACCCCCCCGGCCCTCGCTGGGCCCCCGACCCCTCTCCACCCGGCCAGGGGATGTAGCCTGGGTCCAGGGCGCCCTCCCGCGCCGCGCCGCCCTCGCTGCTCACTGCGTGGACCGCGGCTCCCCGCCCAGCACGCGAGGACCGGGTCCCCGAAAGCCGCGCTGGCGGCGGAGAGGGCGGCGGCGGCGGCGGGCGCGCCGCCATGGCCTCGGCTGCTAACGGGTCAAGTTCCTTCTGGGAGACTCCACCTCCCTTTCCCCCATCCTGGAGGGCCTGGAGCGCGCCGGTCGGCGCATGCGCCGGCCTTTTCCCGCCCGGGCGCGCGGGGTCCGGGGGGGCTTCCGGCGGCGGCCCGACTGCGCACGCGCAGCAGCCCACCCTGCGCGCAGCCCCGCCAGCCCCGCCGGAGGCTTCCCCCTGCGCGCCTGGGCTTGCCACTCCTCTAACGCCCTACCCCGCAGGCCAGTCCAGCTGGCATCCCCCCTCTTAAAGCCTTTTTTGAGAGGCCCCCTGCCCCTAGTGACCCTAACTGTGATTCCTGGCCCTCCAGGCCCCCGCCAGCTCGTTTGTCATGTCCCACTGGCCGCCCCGGAGTGTTGGTGACACGGCTAAGCTCCCCTGCGCTGGTGCAGGCACCGCGAGGATGGGGAGTGAGTTGCACGCGGGCGTTTTCTTCGCGCCCCTTCGCCAAACCGTTTCATGTGCATTTGACATCCTGCTGACGGATGCCCAGGAGAGGTGCAAAGCCCTGTGCTGAGCTGGGACTCTCTCTCTCAAGGCACGCTTCCCATTTGAATTATATGATCTGCTCATACCCTTTGTCTTTTGTTCTGCAAGAGTCATGATTTCCTTTGCTTTTAATTATTTTTTTCTTTTTTTTGTCAGCTGCTTCATGGGCTGGGTGACGACACTGCCTGACAGTTTGGGTCTTTGGAACAATTTGAAGCCAATAATTCGGAGTGCAGTTAAACAAGACCAGCACCCCGCATTGGTCAAGGATCATCTGTACATGGAAAATTCCAGAAATATCACACACACACACACACACACACACACACACACACACACACACACCAAAAAAAAAAAAAAAAAAAAAAATCATAAGTTTAAAAGAAACAAGACCTGCCGAAACTGGTTTGGCTTAGTGGATAGAGCATCGGCCTGCGGACTGAAAGGTCCCAGATTCGATTCTGGTCAAGGGCATGTGCCTTGGTTGCCAGCACATCCCCAGAGGGGGGTGTGCAAGAAGCAGCTGATCGATGCTTCTCTCTCATTGATGTTTCTAACTCTCTATTCCTCTTTCTCTTCCTCTCTGTAAAAAATCAATAAAATATATTTTTTTTAAAAAGAAAGAAAAGAAACAAGACCAGCATTCTTATTTAAAATATATATTATTGATTTTTTTACAGAGAGGAAGGGAGAGGAATAGAGAGCTAGAAACATCGATAAAAGAGAAACATCAACCAGCTGCCTCCTGCACACCCCCCACCAGGGATATAACAGCAACCAATGTACATGCCCTTGACCGGAATCAAACCTGGGACCTTTCAATCCGCAGATCTACGCTCTGGTCACTGAGCCAAACCGGTTTTGGCAAGACCGGCTTTCTTTATCCTTTTTAAAAGAATTCTTTTCTTCCTCCCTGCTATCTCTAAAGAAAGAGATAGCAGGGAGGAAGAAAAGAATTCTTTTAAAAGTATGTAGTCTTTGTCATCATAACACATACTACTTTTAGTAAAAAGATGCATATTGAACTAGCAATAGAGTCCCACCTAAAGCTAGATCTGCTCTCTCCAAAAGAAAGGGTGCCAGAATATTGCAGAGCTAGGTGGGGAGGAGAAGACTGGGAGTAGGGGGGTGTCTGCTGTAACTGATGACCTCTTCATGTAACCAAACCTATGGCTCTGTGGCTGAATTTAGTCCACACTCAAAAATTAGCCCCCTCCCCAAATTAGAAGCCGGTGAAGGCAAGTTGAGTGAGCTTCCTTCCCACTGAAGGTGAATGAACACCTCTCATTTAGAAAGGATGACACTTAAAAAAGCACTTGTAAGCCTGTGTTACAAATCACGGCCACATTGAACCTTCGCAATAGGCTGAGTCACTTTTCCTATAAGTACTTATTCCATTTTTACAACATCACAGTAAAATAGACACTCCCATTTCACTAGTGAGGCTCACAAGATTGTTGCTCCTTGCCTGAAGTCCCACATCTGGTATTAGAAAAGCTAGGATAGGAATCCACTTAACTCTAAAACCTGTGCCTTTGATCTCTACCCTTACTCCATACCAGTCACTTGAAATACAGCATTAGGTCTGAGAGCGTGTAAGATTTCACTGGGCTTCAGATTCACATGTTTGGCACAAAATCAATAAGAATGCATTTTTAATAGCTACTTGTTATTCACTCAAAAGTGCATCATTTCATCTGATTATAGAAAGATTCTTTTGGAAAGCAGTGAAAACTCTGAAGTACAATGGATAAATATACATATTTGACTCAAGGATAAAAATCCTGAATCTATAACTAGGTAGACAATTTATTAACTTTCTTTTTATTGTGGTAAAATATATATTCCATAAAATTTACCATTTATTTTAAAGTGGGTGAAAATAACGGAAAAATTCAATGTCATTAAGTACATTCACAATGTTAGGCAACCATTACCACCAGTTCCAGAATATTTTCACCACCCCAAAGCCAAACCCTAAACTCATTAAACAGTCACTCCCCATTTAAACCACCCACTCACCCAAGCTCAAGATAACCAGGAACCTGCTTTCTGTCTCTATGGGTTAAACTATTCCATTTCATGTAAATGAAACCATACAGTACATAGCATAATGTTTCCAAGCTCCTTTCATTATGCATAGTGTTTTCAGGCTTCATCCAATTTGAGGATGTATTAATATTTCATTTTTTTAATAGCTGAATAGTATTCTACTGTATGGATATATTATAATTTGTTTTTCCACTCATTATTGATAGGAATTTGACTTGATTCCACCTTCTTCCTATTGTGAATAGAGCCGCTATCAACATTCACATAGAGGTTATTTTTTGTTATTCTGTGTATATACCTAGGAGTGTAACTGCCGAGTAATGTGGTAATCTTATGTTTAACTTACTGAGGAATCTCCAAACTGTTTTCCACAGTCCACGGTGGTTTCACGACTTTACATTCCTACCAACCATGTTATAGAATTCCAATTTCTCTGCATTCTCACCATTATTTGTTTTCCTTTTTAAAAAAACATTTTCTCTTTATGGTCCTACTTGTGGGAGTGAAGTGATAGCTCATTGTAGTTTTGATTTGCATTTCTCCAATGACTAATGACAATCATCTTTTCATGTATTTGTTAGACATTTGTTTATCTTCTTTGGAGAAATGTCTAAGTTCTTTGTCCATTTTTTACTTGGGTTATTTTTGTCTTTTTGTTGTTGAGTTCTACGGAAGTGTATATAGGCAGTTCTTTCATGTATTAGTTATTTTCTGAAATGACAGAAATGTGTAAAACATTGAATATTAACATATGTAACTCAGGAAGATAAGTAAAAATCTGTAATACTACTTGAATAAAAATGTACAAAACAAAAGTGTTTCTCATGTGCAATTCTTTGTTCAAACATTTAAAAGTGATGATGTCTGTTCTGCAGATATGTGTAATAAAGTATGCTGAAAATGAAATAAGTTAAAATATAGAAACATAATTATATCCATATCATCATTGTGTAGTTGAAATACGGGGAGAAATGTACAAATTAATAAGGTATTGAAATCACACCTATCACTTTCATTTTAAAAATGTATTTCTAACTTCTGTTTAAAAGAAAAAAAAAATGTGTTAAGAATTTTTTAGCCCATATGCTTCTTTGTCTCCAGAAATAATGCCAATTTTTAAAAAATATTTTTATTGATTTTTTTACAAAGAGAAAGGGAGAGGGCTAAAGAATTAGAAACATTGATGAGAAGCATAAATCAGTTGCCTCCTGCACGCCCCCTCCTGGGGATGTGCCTACAACCAAGGTACATGCCCTTGACCAGAATCAAACCTGGGATCCTTCAGTCCTCAGGCTGACCCTCTATCCACTGAGCCAAACCAGTTAGGGCAAGAATGCCAAATTTTAAAACACGTCTATGTCTTTACCAATTTAGCATAAGTTTTATTTGGTCAGCAGAATATACTTATTACATCTGAAACTGCTGTTAGGTATCGGTAAAAATCATAAATATCATAGATTTCTTTTATATCATTTGAAATTTATCTTATGTTTAAGGTTTTGCCATATGCTAAGAATTTAAAAATAGCCTGCTGCCTGCACCTTTAACACTGAAAAGAATCCCACAAGCTAGACTATGACAAGGTGACACGTGAATCAGCAGCAGTCATACCATGTCAGTCTAGTGTGGACCAATTGCGCTATAGGAATTAGTCTGTTGGCTAGCAAAGCTGACTGGGAGTTTCCCTTATGAAATCTTGAACTGCCCCATCTGCTGAAGGCAGGGAAAGACCCAAGAAAAAAGACAGACTACTCCATATTGGTAGGTGGCAGGTTTAATAAATAAGGGAATTTGCTGAAGAGTCTTATCTTGCGCAGCAGAAGGATCAGTAATTTTCTCACCCAAAAGCCAAATCTTAAAAGTTTGTATAGAAGCCTTAACAGAGTTCAATCGGGTACCCAGCCCAGATGATCTCAAGGCCACACTACCTGAAGGCTGTGTTCTTGGGCAGCTTCTAGCTCAGCAAAGGCAAGCTGAGGGCACATTCCAAGCACAGGGGCGGAGTGTGGAGCTTCCAATAGCCGGGGTTCAGCTCATGGGTAGAACAAGTGATCATGTCTTATTAATGATCTTCCCAACATAGTCAAAGTAAACCAAAAAAATTGTGCTAACAATTACCGCAATTTTGTTTTGAGTAATTCTTGGCAACTATTGATCCCCTGATCAGTCCTGGGAGTGCTTTAAGTCAAGATCATAGGCATCCAAGGATGACATCATCCACTTCAGCTGTCCCATGTGGTTTGCACACAGTTTAAAAAATGATGACCTTACAAGTGCTATGACAACAGAATTTCATTTTCTATTTTCCTCTTCAGTTATAATAAAGTCCAAAACTTTAAATAACGGATTTTTCCCCCCATAATTATTGGGCTTTTCTAAAATTATCTCCATTGCCTCTAACTCCCAGTGTTGGTCTCATTCTA